ATATATATATATATATATATATATATATATATATATATACAGTCATGGTGGAAGAACCATGCATACACAGTGTATGGATCACAATGCGTCGAAGTATACGAGCTACAAGCACGAGCATGAGTAGGTAGACGACTGCGCATCATACTGCGCAAGCGGTTGTCATGGAAACATCATGTGGGTTAGAAAACTTAGAAAAGTGATAACAACGAGGTGGACATGAAAGAAGTTCCAATAAATAAAATAAAGAGAATTCCAGTAATAAATAAAAATAAAGAGAAAGAAGAATACCTCCGAAAACAAAGGAACATGAAAAAGTAATATAATCAAGTGAATAAGTAAATTGGATTATTAGATGACAACAAACATTTTTCTAAATAATTCTGCAACCTGTAAAAAATTTAATATTAATAAAAAAATTAACTAAATAATAGAATTAACTAATTTTATAAAGCGTATTAATATTATGTTTTTGTTAATATTTTAATAATAATAAAGAACTTCTGTTATATGAACAAAGTTTATTTTATGAAAAATTAGTGCGAAAATTAGTGCGAATAATTTTATTTGGTAATATCCTAGGCTTTTATTAATACTATTAAAAGCTCTTTTTGTAATAGGCTTTGTTCGAACAAAGCCTATTACAAAAAGAGCTCTTTAAACATTCAGCAAAAGATAATTTTCTTTTTTAATAATTTAAAATATTCGATGTATTATCCACTTTTCTATATATATAGATAGAAGATATCATCTGTAAGATAAATTCACGTCATTAAAAAGAGTAATACAATTATTTTTCAAAGATTTTATTAATATATTACTAAAACTTGCTATTTTTATGTATCCTTTTATTTTTACTTGTTGACCCTTTGTGAAGTAATTTTCATATTCATAATTTGTCATTTGAATTTCAAGTTTATGAGTATATATACCATCAACTAATCCGTAATCACATGTTTTATAATTAGTTAAAAGTGTATTGAAACATGGTCTTTATAAAGCCGCGTATATACAAATAATTATCAAATAATTTATTTTAGTATTTAACTTATTTTTATTAATAAACATATTTAAACTAGAAAAATATAAATCATTCATAAATGCTAACATTTTTCCTAACAGATACTTTATTTGATTAATTTGCTGTATGTGTAAATGTTTAAAAATATTATGTTAAAAATATGCTTTGTGTGTAGAAGAGAAGCAGTGTGTGCGCGTTTCAATTATCACTCCTTAATTATCACTCCTCGCAAGTGCTTATTATAATCCTATGATAATTGTATACATATATATTTGTAAGAAATAAATATTAATCAACGGGGAAGGGAGATTTCTTTAAACCAGCGTTAATCTCCCTTCCCTGTTTATTAAATATATTAATATTTATGTATATATTATGGTCAATAATATATACATAATTATATACATAATATATACACAATTATTAGATAGGCATTATATATATATAATATATATATTTGCTATATAAGTGTAGATTTGAATTTAAGCGCTACTCGTCACGTGACACACATTTAGTTCATCACTTTGACGCTGAAATTATTCTCTGAGTTCTCTCCGTTTTTTTGACGGAAATTCCTTATTGATTATTACATTTGTGTGGACTTGTGTGGACGCATCTCTTGTACCTGAATGAGAGGGAAAATAGAGTTTTCTCATTAACGCGCTTAGGATTTTTAAACGAAACCTTTCTCGCCAAAGACAGTATATTCCGCGATGAATCCCTCAGAGCCAAGCGGCACCGAGACTCTCAGGTACAATGAGTTCACATTGGATGACACTGACATAAGGTTATACATCAGCTTACTCTTGACAGATCAAAAGCTTTTCAGTATTTTCGCAACGCAATGTGATTCGGACATGCGTTGTTATTTTCACAGCTAATTTTTCGTATGTTCGAATGATATTTAGTTTTCTTTTTACGTTAAATTCACATGACGTTTCGTTTTAGCTCTAAGATGAAAGACGTGATTGACGTTCTCGCGATGCAGCGCGAGAAAAGGAATACATTACAAAAGAGTATTACGATCGATTATACCAAATCCAGCGACAGTTTCACAGTTTCTCGATTTATCTTCGAGTGCGGTATGTTGGGTGCAACGATATCTCACCATTGGAAAGTTGTTAGGCACTTTAGAAAATTTGTCGAGCTTTAGAAATCTTGTGTTTACCGTAAAAAGGTAAAGTCTTTAATAAAACGCTCGTCTGAATTTAGGTTTGAAATTGGAGGCTCACCCATTGACGATAGCTACTGCTGCAACATTATATCACAGATTTATTAAAGAAGCGACGGCACAGGGATATGATAATTATGTAAGAACGGATGGTACTTCAAGACTCGATAAGTTCTTAATAAATACGACAGAATTTTGTCTCTTTTAGCTCATAGCTGCAACTTGCCTTTATCTGGCTGGTAAAGTAAAGGACGATACGCTGAAGATAAGAGACGTAATGAATGTATCTTACAACACGCTTCACAGAGGTTCTCAGCCGCTCGATCTTGGCGATCAGTATTGGAGTATGAGGGATGCAATCGTACAAGCTGAACTTCTGATCATGAGGATGCTCAAGTTTCAAGTCACGCCTGTGCATCCGCACAAGGTAAAGTGTTGTAAATATTACTAAGGCTGTTCCACTCTAGTTAACGTTACGTACACTAGCATTTTAGTTAACTAGAGTGAATTCGGAACACAGCCTAACTGAATAACATTAATAGACGTATGTGATAACGCATAAATAACTGCATTATGTTTCCTTATAGTACATGCTTCATTATCTGCGATCTTTGCAAGCTTGGTTTGGTGAAGAGGAGTGGTCCAAGTATCCGGTCGCCAAAACTAGCATGGCACTGCTACAAGACTTTCATCATTCCCCAGCTATTCTCGACTATCCACCGAACTTAACAGCGATAGCTTGTATCAACTTGTCATTACAAATTTATGGCGTGGTCGTACCTCTAATGGACGAGTGTGATCAACAGCCGTGGTTCAATGTAAGTATACATGATGCTACAAAATTTTTTGTCCGTTTTTCTATGTTAGTCGATAGATTTATATGTAAATTTTCTTGTCACCACACAGGTTTTCTGCAAAGATTTAGCGAGGGATAAGTTATGGGAAATTATGGAAAAAATCATGGCGGCATATGATGACGAACCTGAAACGAGAGACAATTAATAAGCGCGTATCTGTATCTATTACAATAATAAAGCACTTTCCGTACATTACAAACTATGGCAGTTGCTTTATATACACTTTTTTAATTATGAGCCGTATTCAGCGAATTTTTCTAAATTATTCGATCAATAGAAAAATTTAGAAAACTTTATTTTACAATACTCGAGTATTTATTCAATATTCGGTTAAAAATATTAATTTGTATTGTATCATATGCAAAACGTTGTAATCATTTTTCTATGAAGTGTTAAGAAATAAACCTGTAAGAGATAAAACTGAAGTATATTTTCAGAACTAAAGTACAATTTAATTCGCTAATACATTTTCTCTATCCAACATATTCTTTATAATCGCAATTCTCGTATCATCCATTTTTTTTAATAACAAATATGTTCACTTTGTACAAGAAAAAAATTTACTTGGACTAATTAATACGTATGTTGATGCATATATATGTTGATGCATACGTACGATGTATACGTGTATGCACAAAGTGGGAACATAAATATGTATAAATATTAGATATACCTATTCTTAATATACGAGAATAAAATTTTTAAATATACCTCTTTTAAGATACATTTATCTCACTCATTAACGACAAAATTTCTTCTGTACATTTTCTCAAAGTATTTAGCACAAACTTAATATCATTGTTATCCAGACTAGCAGATATACAAAGTCTAAGACTAGGCCTAGGTAAGATTCTTTCCGTTTCCAGATAGGCAGGTAGTATGATTGCCAAGTTATTTTCTATACATTTGTTAGAAATTGCAGATAGTAATTTCTCCTCGGTGGCACGGTCTTTCTGTTCTTTCAAATATACATGCTTTAAAGGCGATTCTGCGAAACTAGAGCACACCAACATCGGGATTTCTTTGAGACCGTTGTGAATCGATAAGGTATTATTTTTCAAAGATTGAAATACTTGTAAATTATTTTCAATCATATCTAAAGAAGTGATAGCAGCAGATGCCAGGAGAGGTGGTTGAGACGCCGAGAAACAGTAGCCAAGCCCAGATAAACGTTGATGATCGATGATAAAGGATGTTCCCACACAAAAGCCTCCAATAGTTCCCATAGCGTTCTCTAAAGATCCTAAAGAATATGTAGATATATATTATCATATATACATTTTCATATATTAACAAAAAATATCTAGCTTAGAGATGTGCGAACTATTCGAATTCGAATTTCTATGATTCGAATCCAAACTATTCAAAAATTTCGAATCTAGATGATTCGAATACGAATTATATACAGGGTGAGGCAATAACTATTACCACCTTAAATATATTCGAATCTATAAGGTCCAGAGAAAAATTAGTGTAACTAAAATTGTACGGTACGAAGGGGGCTATCATATAGCGATAATAATTTTTGTCCAGGTGGAGGGGCTTCGGAGATATCAAGGTCATCTTCATTTTTTTAAATTGATTCGGTACATTTTTTTCCATGTCTTCGAGCTCAAGGAGAATAATCGACTGTGATTGGTCTATCTATTTTCTTACGGTCTTACCATTATGACTAAAACTTTGTTACGTGCAATGGCCTTAACAGAAAATACGAAACGTCTGATTGGTTACGCGATATGCGTTACGCGGAAAATATCAGTCCATGGGGCCTTACAGAGAATAGGCCCTTTAGTTTGTAAGTGACCCTGTAGTAAGGTCGAAACGCTTTGAACGTTATTTCAATTTGTAATACAATCTTAGTACGTTGTATACACCTGCCTTGTACTACGTTTACGCGAGCGTTACTTCTGTAGGAACTTACGATAATTCCTTCGCGTAAACGGGATTTTGCAGTAACTTACGATAATTTACTCCGCGTAAACGAGCGAATTATCGTAAGTTACTACAGAAGTAACGCTCGCGTAAACGTAGTACTGGTTCGTTAACTACTTTTTTAATTTTTTGAACTCTGGTCTTTTATTATTTTAATAATTATATTGTTAATTAAAAATTATATTTCAACAATTCGAAATTATTTGATTCGCTTCAATTCGAATGGAACTTTGTCGATTCGATTTGATTCAAATTTGAAAAAAGAAACAAAATTTAATTCAATTCGACTTGACATAACAAATCCTTGATTCGTACATCTCTACTGGCTTTAATTTTTTTTTAGTTATTATATTAGTATTAATTTTTACCTATTATCATGTCTACTTCACTTCTGGGAATGTTGAAATATTCGGTAACGCCTCTTCCGTGTAGACCGATGGTACCAAACGATATCGACTCATCAATAAAGATTCTCAACTTGTACTGTCTGCAAAGATCCAGTAATTCAGGTAGAGGACAAATGTTTCCTGTATTCATATAAATACCCTCTACGATCAGAAAACGTCTGATTTTCGCAGCCTTTTTAGGACGTCGTTTGTCCGCTTCCTCCTGTTTCTTCAGGAGATTATGTAGATCTTGAACATCATTATGTTTAAAATATTGGATATTTCCTCGAGACGCGTCCAATCCTTTCTGCACAGCGAAATTTACTCGCTCATCCACGAATATCAAGTCGGTACGTTTACAATAAGCTGGGATTACGGTCGACATAGTAGCGAACCCATAGGAATATGTTATAGCGTCTTCCGTGCCCATGAAACTGGCCATACGTTCTTCTAGCTCCAGGTGCACGTCGACAGTTCCATAGAAACCTCTTGGTCCACAAGATCCAACGCCGTATTTCTTGATAGCCGCCTCGGCGCTGTCTATCAGCTCTGTATTGTCACTTAGACCCAAGTAATTATGCGTACCCAAGTTGAGACAATCCCTGCCATTGACCGTCATCCGCTTCCCGATTCTAGAAGTGATGTGTTTGGGACTCAGCGAAGGATGGTCCGCTGGCGATTCTAGCACGAGGGACTCCGGCCGCCACTCCGCCAGTTTACGCTCCACCAACTCCTTCGAGGGTACCGAATCCTGGCCGCCGCTTCGTCTCTTGGAAATAAACCACACTATCCAAAGCACCAAAATCGCTTCTAGCAGAGTGTGGTAATGCGGCAAGGTGTCCCGCAGGATCTCCACCGATTCGACAAACAGGAGTTTCGTGCTCATTTTTCTTGACTAGTCCGAGCAGAGAGATATATAGAGTACGCAGGCACTTTCTTATCGTATGACAAAATATCAATTATCTAGAATTATATCTACATCTCTTACGAAATGAAAACATGCGACGAAAGGCTGATAACGATAAGCCGAATTATCAAGCCTTCACGGGCCACGGGTCTCACCCTTGCCCACGGTCGTGTAAAGGCACTTGGCAGCCTTCGCGCCAAGCGCCAATGACCCATTGAGGTTAAATTGTATATTAATGCACCATTAATGCAGGCGCACAAAGAAACGAACCAATCAAGTGTCTAGCATGAAGAACGCAGCAACATCTGTCCTTTTTACCTGAACTTCTTGCACGGTTCATCTTTCCTCTTTCTCTTTTCACATTGGAGAGAAAAGGAGAAAAGATGAACTGTGTAAGAAGTTCAATTGAATAGAATAGACCTGTGATACTGTTTGCATCAGATATACGATTGGCATGCATTTCTCGGTGCGTATGAATACATGATTATTTAAATAGTTTGAATATTGAATATTTATGACAGAATCATTATTTTTGCAAAACGAAATATGATAAAAATACGGTGTATATGTATATTATGCACCCGCGTGAATAAGGAGCGGTAGATTATTTTATTTATTATAATTATTAAAAAGCCAAAATCTCCGGCTCTTTAGCGCATATCATAATTTCATAGAGAAATAATCTAAAAGACAGAATAATACTTTTACGAGGTGAAATATATATAGAGTATAGAGTTACGTATATGCGTATGTACATGGTGTTTGTGCACTGCGATAAATAAAAGGAACAATGGGTCGATTGTGTATCTTGAAACGATGTGAAAATTACAAAAGTGAGGAAGTTCATTAGAGTATACCTATCCACGATTTTATTTGTCAAAATCTATAAGTAAATCTGTTTATTTTTATAATTTCCACCTCGTTTTAAAATAATACATATATAATCCGATCTCTAAATTATCATTTTTATTTATTACAATTATTAGAAATTAAATTGCAAAATTAATTTCTAATAATTGTAATAAATAAAGATGATAATTTAGAGATCAGATTATATATGTATTTTAAAACGAGGTGGAAATTATAAAAGTGAACAGATTTACTTATAGATTTTGACAAATAAAATCGTGGATTTCTTTATCGGATATCTATCGTATAGCTTTGTAAGAGATAATTGCTTAAAAAAGTATTATTGACAATTAAGTATTCATTGCAATTGAAGTGTTGATGAAAAACTGCAAACTTGCTGTCGTCTTTTATTCTTGCTAATGCTGTTTTCACACCTCCAATGGCAGCGCACGGTTCATCTAGTAGAAGAAAGACCTACGCAACAAATCTTTTTAGCTAGGACTGTACCGAGAGAGATACACTGTCACTCGAAAGTTTTCTTTCTCTCTCTCTCTCTCTCTCTCTCTCTCTCTCTCTCTCTCTCTCTCGGCTGACCAGTAACGACCTGCCAGTGCTCTTTTCAGTATTTTATCAAAATTTTGATAACGCACGCCGCGCAACTCGATCGTGAACAGACCTGAAGACAGGTCCGCGCGCGTGCAATCGGCGATTTTAAGCCGCTGTTGCCGAGTCGAGCGGCGGCGGGCGGAAAACAGGACTTCCGGTATCCGGCAAACGCCCCAGCGGTCCCCCAGTCCCCAGTCTACCTGTCAGCATCGTCGGGCTCGCAGCAATTTCTGCGTACGATAGATCGCTCCCTCGGCGTTTTCGTCGATTCTATCGAGAGGGAACTGTCAGGACCTTCGCCGAACGGTGAGTGAGCACATTTAAGACGACGATCGTCGTCGCGTTGCGACGAGACGCGCGACGGTGTCGGGTGTGCGGCTCCCCCCCTTTTCGAAAAATTCTACTCCGTTTATTTTACCCCTCCGACGAGGGGCTGCGCTAAGCGCGACTGTGTAAAACCGATTGTGCGAAATAATATTCGTGTATAAATGAACGTGTACGTAGAAAATGCATGAGTTTAGTTTTCGGCCGGCATCGCTCGAGGAAATCGTACAAATAAGTTTGGTTATCTCGCCGTCGCATTCCGGCGAGCGTTGCCCGCCTGAGTCATGCACTCCACTTGACGTTTAATACCGGTGACGTATACATTCTGCCTGAAGTCGCGCCGTGCTTGTGCTAAGGTTTGTCGAGGAACAAAGCACCGATCAGGACTGACAGACACTTGTCATCTCTTGAAAACTGAAGAAACTCTTCGATTCCATTGAGGTTTCGCGCATCTGTCGCGCGAGCATCTAAACATTCTAAACCCGATAACCTCAAGTGGTTTTATATATACAGAGTGACCCCGGCCAAACTTCGAGTAACATTTGCAGTCTTTCGGTGACGCAAGTGGAATTGTTAGTCTTTTGTTCGATACATAAAAAAAAGGAAGATTAGATTAAGGGCGACGAATTATATGTAGCTAGAATACGTGTCGGTCGAATTTATCATTGAATAAGTTAATCGATATCTCACATCTGTTAAGCTTATTCGTGAGATTTGCCACGATACGTTTCTGCAGTGGTTTGGTTTATCAGAGCGAGGAGATTAATAGCGAATTCGATTTGCACTGGTGCACACAGAAGAGTGCTGTACGTTTCAGTTATCTGAGCGTGAAAGTCTGTTGAAAGTATCTTAATTACACCGTATACCTGATGTTAAATACGCGATCCAAGCATTAAATCTGAGTGCGTTCACTGAGTACGAACGATTCCGAGTGAGTAGTGTGAGTAAATTAGAACGAATAAGGTTCGTATGAAGTACACGTCGAGTGATATGTGGTGTCCTGTTGTTAACACTTGTGCTTGAAATTTTAGAGCACGTACAGGGTTTTCAACAAATAGACTTTACACTTTTGAATTATTATATTTATGCTTCTGCACTACACGTACATGAATGATTTTGGTGTTGAACAATTCCTAACAGCTGGGAATTTTAATTCTACATAAAAACATATTTAATATGAGATCCATTAGCAGCCAGCACCATGTTCGAAACGAAACTGCTTATCATTTCTTCGAGAGTTGCGTGGGAACCCCCTTCTACAACGGCTTGAATGTTGGTTATCAAATTCTTAATTGTGCGAAGATTATTCTGATCGACGTGATCCTGCAGATATCGTCATAAATGAAAATCACAGGGATTTAAATCCAGCGAATAGGGAGGTCAGATCCATAAAATTATATTCTGATTAAACATTACTCTATATTGAATGTGATTATTTCCATATTGAATACGTTTTTATTATATAACATCAAACTCCCAGCTGTCAAGAATTGTCCAACACCAAAGTCATCAATTAATGTATGTAATGTACGAATGTAATATAACTAATATATATAACTAATATAAGTAATATATATGTAAATAGGAAAAAAGGCTGTAAGGGTCGGACATAGTTCTTGGTGCGTAGTATCAGTATCACTGATTTATTACTCAAGTTTTACATCCATCCGTACGTTTCAGTTCCAATTTGAGCCATCTTCAGCGGTATAATATTAAAAAATAAATTAAAAAATTCTCCGTTGCAACGTGGTGAGTTTCCTGATTGGAGATTTCAAGAAACAAAATTGAAAATATAATAAGACTAAAAGATTCATATCTGTAAAAATAATTTTATTATTACAAAAGGTATTTATTAAAAACAAAAAATCTAAAGTTAAGGTAACTCACCAAGTAGTCTAGATATATATGAATGTATGTATAATATACATTGTATATATTAATGTAATATATTTATTATTAACTTCAGCTACATAGCCAAGAAGTGGACTTGGTTTACAAATAACCTTAATTATTCATCCTTCCATTCATACACTACTATCCTAACTTACAAGTAACTATTGCACATATTGTTACACATTGACTTTCTATATTTTAATCCAACCTTCTTTTTCGCTCTTCTTTCTCTAACCCTGACCGTTCTCTATATAATCTTAACAATATCTTCTCTTTGATGATGCTCATGTCATCATTCCAAAGCCTCTCTAATCTTTCTTTATTATTCTTATCTAATTCTATAAACCAATTTTTTATCGCTTCGCATTCTGATACATAATGATTCGTGTTATCCCTACCTTGTTTACAAAACATACAAATACCGCTTTCCTCTTTTAACCAATACATATTCGCGTCCTCCAAATTACCACATCTAAGTTCACCAGAGCTCTAATAATTTCGCCTTTATCATAATTATCCACATATTCCTTCCTCAGAAATATTAATGTAATATAGTAATATAGTAATTCAAAAGTGTTGCGTCTTTTTGTGAAAACCAGTGAAAATCCTGTATATTTTGCTGCTTTTTACATAACATGCTATTAACGGAGTTATAATACTTTTCGTAGATCACGTGTGATCTCACAGATAGATATATTTATCACTAGAGTTATATGAAAGACGTAATTGTGAAGTAAACCTAAATCGATCATTATTTAGTACTATAGTGTTTATAGTGCTACCTTTGTACTAAATACTATTTGATTCCATACGCATTTTCGATGCGTATTGTACCAGCTGGATATGCCAGATCGTTTATCATCGTAAATTTAGTACGAATATAATACTTGATACGCATATCAAACGGTGTAAACTAGGCCTATCTTGAACTATGTTCAACGTATATCCCGTCGAATAATTGTTTAAAATGTATGGTAGGCGTTCCATCAAGATGTATTTTTTTTGCAATATATTGAAACGATTCTGTAGCAGCAACAGTTATGATAAATTTATAGCGGCATTGCAATCTTTAGGGTGGAATAATGCGCAGGCGAGGAAATTTGTTACAAGATATCATTTACATAGTCTATTATCATATTCGTTTTTCTTTTTTAATTCATTGAGCCATAAAATGGGCGCTGGTTTGAGTGGTTCGTTAGGACAATTTCGACCAAAATTCAAACTTATTGATATTTCATGACACTCAACTTATCGGGAAATACACATTTTGTTATCACGGATAGAACTATTAACTTTATTTGTTTAACACATTGGAAAAGAACGATGAATCGTACGATCGGAAATTTTGTTGTAAGCACTTGTATACCGATTGAATTAATTACCGATTAATGAAACTTTTTTGCTTAAACCTTTTTATAATCAAACTTTGAAATTTACTTTAAAATGTTAATTCAATATTAAATATAAGAAGAGAAATTACGAATTAATCGATTAGCGTCGAGGTACGATCGATCGTGAAAAATCGTTGTTTTTTAAAATCGATTATTTGAATTTATTTTTTCAACATCGCTTACTTGTTAAGCGTAGATAAAGTTATTATTCTTTTGACGTAATATGGAAGAGAAGATTAGATTAATTAAGGCTAACTGCATGGAGATCGAAATTTTATCATTTGGGTTAATCTCGTTAATTGGAGTCAAAGGCGTCCCGAAAGCACACAATGTTGCGACTCGCCTCCGAGTAGCGGCAGCACAAGGAACGCGGCCCGGAGGCGCGAAGAAAGGAGTGGCGAAGCGGCGGGGCGGGGGCGGAACGACGAACGACGCACCGCGCCGGTCGAAACTGGGGAACGTCAAATCCGGGCGGGCGTCCAGGACGTTATCTCTCCAGCCGCCGCCTCTCCGCTCGCGCTGCCTTCGTTATCGTCGCCGTCTTCCTTTGCCGTTCCGTCGACCTTTTTCGAAAAGAAAACAACTGGCCGTTTCTCTTCCTTCCGCGATATCCATCGACGCAACAAATTCGGAAATTCTCAAGTTTAGGCTTAGCCCGACTATCGGATTAGGCGAGTGCGGATGCGCTTTTGCATTCTGTTATCCTGTGGCTGTGCCTTTGGACACACACTCCACTTTGGAATCCGCCTCTGTCCCTCCGACTTGCTGCTGCGAAAGAAGGCTCCAAGACTCTCGCAGCGTGTATATTTGTTTCGCTAAGAGAGCGTGACGATAATTCGGCCGATAATTAAGTTCGATTTTCCGATTTCTCGTTGTCCTTGAAAAATTGTGCACCTCCGGAGAATACATTCGGAATTTTTCAGTGTGGCTGGAGAGGAGCAAGGATTTGGGAGCTGTGTTCTATCGCGATTGGCAATTGTTCGAGCGCGGTTTTCGATCGCTTATATGCCTTTTGACTTTTGAGTCCTCGCTAGAGAAGGCACTATCGCGGCGCTGTGAAAAAGGACGAGCCTCTTGTTGAACCTGAGACGCAGCTTTGGGTTACCAGCGTCAATTACAGTTGACCTGTTATGTTTACCATCGACCGTATCGAAGATTTACGCGGATCGTTTAATCCGCGTGAGGCGGCGCCGGCGGCTACGAAGTAACGAACGAAGCGCAAATCAAATATTCGTGACTAGGCGCGGGCGAAGTTGTTGACCTTGTCACGTTCCATACTTGAAAATATTTGTTAAATTTCTGCCTGTTAAGTCTATTAAGAAGCTTATAGTTTTGTCGTTGAGCCGAATGAAATTTTCTAACATTAATTTATAAGAGATTTTACGGATCGAAGAGAAAGAGAGATTATAATTCTCGGAGGTGATACCGTCGTACGCTGGCATACTCAGGAAAGGCAGCAAGGATAGCGAGGGATACGCGGAGTGCGAGGTGGATGATACACAGGAACGATGTTCAAGTGCTGCGTGTGTAACAGCGCGTCGAAGAAGGCGAACGCCGAGAGATCGAAAGCGGAAGATGACACGCCGGTCGGGTCGCCCAGGCTGACCACGGTTTCCGCCAAGGTGGACGATGAGATTAAATTTGTGACGAAGGTGGAAAAGGTAAACGGCAACGTGCAAAAGTCAGAGAAGACGTCCCTGCTAGAGGATGCTTCATTAGAAAATAAGGATGCCTTGTTAGAGGATAAGAATGCCTCGCTGGAGGACAAGAATGCCTCGCTAGAAGATAAAGATGCTTTGCCAGAGGACAAGAATGCCTCGGTAGAGGATAAAAATGCCTCGCTAGAAGACAAGAAAACCGCGGTAGTAGATAAAAATGCTTCGTTAGAGGACAAGAATGCCTCGTTAGAGAATGAGAACGTCTCGTTAAAGGATAAAGATGCCTCGCTAGAGGATAAGAATGCCTCGTCAGAGAATAAGAATGTCTTGTTACAGGATAAAGATGCCTCGCCAGAGGATAAGGATGCTTCGCTAAGAGATAAAGATGCCTCAATAGAGGATAAGAATGCCTCGCTAGAGGATAAAGATGCCTCGCTAGAGGATAAGAATGCCTCTCTAGAGGATAAAGATGCCTCGCTAGAAGATAAAAATGCCTTGTTAGAAGATGAAGATGCTTCACTAGAGAACAAGAATGCCTCGCTAGAGGAGAAGGACATGTCGCTAGATTTCACCCTGTTACGCGCCGATTCCGCGATGAGTCCGTGCGAGATTCCGCAGAATGGAAACATCGACGTTGAGGAGAGCTCGAGTTCGACTTCGACGAAGGAAACGGTCGAGGAGGCCGGCGAGGAAACCGGCGACCGAATCGTTGACGATAAGGATAGCAATTTCGACGGCGTCGCCGAAGATTGGATGGTGCCGATGGAGGTCGTTCCTATTGGTGCTGTTGGTCCCGTCAAAATGAATCTTTACGACGCATCGGGATATATAGAAAGGACGATCGATGACGGACCGGAGGACGAAGGCGATGACTCGGTATTCGAAGCTGAAAACGAGATGATCGCCAAGAAGGCGCCAGAAGGTACATTAGGATCCCGCGATTCTTTGTCACTCTGTGTGCCGCAGATCACCGACTAGCCACACGCTATTATATGGGTCTGCTTACATCATTAATATCGGGATATTAATTTTAATAACTTTACTTTTCGACATCTGACATTTTATACTTTTAATTTCACACTTATAAAAATTTGAACTTTCCGGGATGATACATGAATTGATCGAGTAACGAACTTGTTTGTTATAGATTTGTTTGTTATTACTGCCTGAACGGTTTTTCCATCTTTATTTTCAGTTATTTCATGAAATAAACACGCATCGTTACATTCTTAAAATAACATTTGTCCTATGTGAACAATATTGGTCAATATTTGAACAAAGAGAATTATTAATTTTATCCATATGAGAGAGATTCTTTTTTCAATTTATTAAAATATCTCTTTTAGTTTAAATAAAACATTTGTTCTATACATTTATGTTATATAATATATACATATATATCTACATTTAATTACATTTATTTTGTGTTTTCGTAATTTGAATTACTGATTGCATTTCTCCTTGCGTGTTAATATTCCGATATTTACATCGAAAATTTGCCATTTGGAAAAATATACGCTAAATGAAAAATGTATGATAATATTTTTTGGTATTTTGTGTGCATACACAGTCATTAAATATTAATATAAATAATTAAATACATGAATTGAAACACGTTCCATTAAATTAAAATAAAATGCAGCATATAAATTCTATTTTGTTTTATGTAATACATATATATATATATATATATATATAGAAATAAGCTTTTTGCGAGGGCCATTTTTGTGAACAGACCCATATTCTACTGCTAGCGTTACGCTATTCTCGCCTCAGCAGAAAGAACATCGATTTGTAATAATATCCGCGGGTGATCTGATACTTATGTACCATTTTTATCAATTATACATATATATGGGACTATTAACTTTAATAAACTCGATGGGTGGGGCAGAGCGAGCCACGTGTGGCCGTAAGACTCTTCAAGAATAGAATGCCTCTTGGAGAATAAAAGCTCGACTGTTGTGTTGTCGTTTCCGCAGTTCCCTCGATTCCACGTTCGCTGTCGGAGGAAGACGACGGCGAGTATGTCTCGGGTGGATGCAGCGGTATGCAGGAACCGCCGGCGACGCCCGTCGCCCGCGACGAGTTAGCTTTAAGACGGCACAGATTCTTCTCCGATCTGTTGCAAGCTGCGCAGAATTCGACGGAGCACCGAGTGAGATTCGACCCGCTAGGACCGATGGTGCACCCCGGTTAGGACCCGCTTGAGAATTTCCAGCGACTTGTTATTCTTTCACGCGCTGTTAGTTCTGGAGCTTAGAGCTAGCCCAATTCTGCCTTGCGAGGCTCGCCGTAGTTCGCAATCCACTCTCGTCTATACTAGCTTAGGACAGTTTATTTTGTACCACCATTCATGGAAAACTTTATAAGTTGTAGGTGCAATGCCGTTGTATGTACAAGATAGGCAAGCACTATTGAATAAGCATGAAATATATATAAGCAAACGAAGGATTTTGATTTCCGGCTTCGATCACTCGCGTGCGATATTTTTGTTATATGTTTTGTTACAAAAAAGGAGAAAGGTAAAAGAGAAAATTAATCTATTAATCCACGATATATGCAATACGAAATACGATTGCAAGTGTGATAGCAATTTACACGTTAATTTACACGTAATATTACATATCTTTAGATATGACGGCTGAATCTCTGTGCGTTATGAGTAATATCATTGCGATTATGTTACATTATGAATCATTTGCCGAGCGTATTTATGTGGATAAGACTATATAACTCCACGATGTTGGCGGATTCTCTAATAATAGTCTGGAGTATTCTCGCGTCGTCGGACGGAAAGTCATCTCATTTGAGGTGTCTTTCAGTTTCTTGCCAATTTTCGGAAAGTCTAGTAGCCGTATCGCCGTTTATAATAGGATAATTGCAATATTCTTCAAAACCTAGGTAACATTTTGACGAAAAAAAATAAATAAATAAAACAAAATGTATATATAGATTGTCTTAACGAAGAATGTGACTGGCATAACTTTTATGCGAACTTCATTAACGAGATATTTTTTGCATTAGGAAATTTTACGTATTAAGTTATTTGCAACACATTATAAAACAAAGCTTAACTGGTTTTATATTTTTTTTAAGAGAACTCTTTAAGGATTTTATAATTTTATAATCGAAATTATTTATGTGGAAAGAAAATAATTATCGTCTTGATTGGCTTTCTCTTTTGTCTGACAATCAAATTCCATCGAAAATGTCAAGTTTATTGTAAAGACGAAACTTCGCGAAATGAATTTAAGTATCAAACAGATCGATTTAATTTTACTTAAAAAATTATGCTTTCTTAGTTCGAAAATATGTCTCGTAAACAGCAATTATCGATAATGATAGCGACTGTCGTTTGTTTAATTAGGATTTAATTGTGTATGTGTTTTTATCATTATAATTTTGAAAGTCACGGTCGCGTTTTTCCTTACAGACTGTATATGTGCATGTGTGTATGTTTAATATATATAATTTTATTAATTTTTTTTTATTTTATTAATTTTTTTTAGTAATATATACACACTTATGTACTTAACGCGATATAATTAATAATAATGTATACTAACGTTACTATTTATAAACGTGTTCTATATTTAGCATTCCAAGTACTCGGAGAAGCATTCCAAGTGTCTGAGTTTTCCGGGTGTTTTCGAGCGTGTCTCCCGTGGGATAAAGTTTACATTTCTCTTTATGTTTGTTGTCTGTTTATCAGTTTTATATTATTATGATTTTCAAGCGCGAGTGAACGAATAATCTTTTTCCTTATTGTTACAGTCTATATGCGAACGTTTACAAGTTTTTTAATAAAATAATTACAGGTTGTGAGAGTTCTGATAAAGAAGAGCATCTAGAAGAGTTGGTGAACCGATTGGAAAACGTAACGAGACGACTCGAAAATTTTGCAGTTCAGACACAAGACACTGCTGTACAAACGAGCACACCTTCCCCGAAGAGATCTACGTCGTCAGGAAGTAGTTTATCTCTGTCATCGAAGCAGGAAACTATTCCGAATCCACCTACAAACATGTCTGTCGCCGGATATGAGGATCTTTTGGCTGGGCCAGTTAAAGAGTACCTGCAATTAAGTCAAAAAATCGGCGGTGATGTAGCTGTTCACAGCAAGCTTGTGGAAAAGGCTTTTCAGTAAGTAACATTTTAACTTTACGTTGAGATCGAACAAGTAGATGCACATATATCGAACAAGATATTAAAAATATTCTAATTAATTTTAGGATTCAGCTTCAGTTTATAAAAATGGCGGCGAGTCGTTCCGCACCGACGAATCAATCTGAACAAGTATCTTTATTCACGCCTATGTCCGTACAGATACAACAGATACAAGAATTTCGCGAGAAGAATCGTGGATCTCAATTCTTTAATCACTTATCAGCAATTAGTGAAAGTATCCCAGCCTTGGGATGGGTCGCCGTGTCTCCTACGCCAGCTCCCTATGTAAAGGAAATGAATGACGCCGGTCAATTTTACGCTAATCGTGTATTGAAAGATTGGAAAGAAAAGTAAGTTCTTCTAGAAGTTTATTATTATTTTTTGTAATTTATTCGAAAGCGAAGCTACAGCTGTTTCTATTTATAGAAACAAAATACACATAGACTGGTGTAAAGCGTGGGTGCAAACATTAACTGACTTGCAACAGTACGTTCGTCAACATCATACGACGGGTTTAGTATGGGGAAAGACTGCCGCACCTGCGGGTATACCTGCGGGTATACCACCCCCTCCACCACCCTCGATGCCGATTGGAGATATCGCACCGATGGTGAATGACGACAGAAGCGCCCTTTTCGCTCAGATTAATCAAGGAGAAGATATCACGAAAAGTGAATACGCTTATTTATTATAAATTTTTTCTCTACGCAATTCTTGTAATCTTTGTGCCAGGACATTATACGCAATAGCCGACATTTGTATTGTAGGTTTGAAGAAAGTCACCTCAGATATGCAAACGCATAAAAATCCTGCTTTAAGATCCGGACCCGCACCGTTTAAAGCACCGACAGTCAACGCGGCACCGACGAAAACTGTGTTGCCAGCGAACGTGCCTATTGACAAGCCACCTGTATTTACTAGAGATGGCAAAAAATGGCTCGTGGTACGATATTTCGTAAAGAGAATAAGATAAAAATATCTAATATGCATATTTTACTATATATATTACATTATTATGTGTATTATTATATATTAAAAATATGCTATTTTTCACAGGAGTATCACAAGGGTGAAAATTTAGTAATCGATGACGTAGAGATGAATAACGTGGTTTATGTGTTTCGGTGCCAAGATAGCACACTTACTATCAAAGGCAAAATAAATTCCATCGTCATGGATTCCTGTCGTAAATCGTCCGTTGTGTTTGATTCCCTGGTGTCCAGTATCGAATTCGTAAATTGTCAAAGCGTACAAATGCAGGTATGTATATGAATACAATAGTTCCTTTTATTATTAGTGTGCATGCGTATCAGGCCACTTATGTTTTCATTAATTAAGATTAATATTAGATATAGAAATCACATTGATATGTAAAAGATAGATAACATTGCCAGATGCCGATATAATAGATTCTTTTTTTAAATTATTACGAGAAATCGTTTTCCTTTTTGACACTGTTCTTAATTTTAGGATATCTTATAGATAATTTAATTTTCTAAAAGACCATTTTATACTATATAGATATATAATTCAGTACATACAAGTGTAAAAGAAAATTTATTTAGAAAAATGCACTCTTATATAAAAGAATCCGATAAATAAAAATATTAAAAATATTTACATAGATAAGACAAGTTATATGTCTCAGTTCATTCATTGTAAAGCAGACATTGATGTACATGTATTTGTAATGGAAGGTTTCGCCGTAACTTCTTTTTCTGTTTTTTCAACAGTAATAGTCCATAATTTATTTTTATGTATTAGCAAATCTGTCGTGGGACTGATATTCTTCGTTAGAATAAATAGATCTGCCGGATATTTCTTTCGTAGGCTGTCATTTGCCATGATAGAAATAACAACTACCTCTTTAGAAGCAATCTTTTCTATACGTTGTATTATGCTTGTATCTGATTTACTGCCATATGTATCTTTCTTATCTGAATGGTCTTTATCGATTGTGAGGGATTCTACATTTTGATCAGTAGACAAAATTGCCGAACTTTTCTTATTTCTGTATGTCACATTCTCAGGTTTCTCCAATTTTTTATTGAAAATGTCCTTTTCTGTGTTTAATTTAGTTAAATTCGGCACAGTCTCTACATGCAAATGCTTGCTTATTGAGACATTGTCACTTCGCGCAATTTCCTTGTCTGTCGTGTGATCTTTCGTACAAGTCTTTTCTCCCCATAACATAGTCAACGGACCTCTCACAGGACTTCTCGCCTGCGCTTGACGTTTCATTCGGTGGGACGATTCTAAGCGATTCTTTAAGATCGGTATGCAAGATTTAGTGGATACCCTTCGTGGCGATATAATAGACTTTGATTGAGTTGCGAGTCGCAACTTATTTTTTATACATTTGTTTTTGTCATTGTGCAATTTTGTATAGGGCTGATGTGATGTACTGCTGATGTATTCCACAGCATTATGGCGCATCAAAAATGGATGTGATTTTTCGGGGTATAAGGTGACTTTCAAATTTTTATTTCCACTAGTTATTAAAGATATGTCGCTCTTGGCTTTAATTTGCTGGAATGGTTTTGTTAAAAAATGATCTGTTCGGGGCGACAAATGTGCGATATCGACAGAAATTTCATCATTTTTTGTTTCATTGTGTTTTAAATTATTTAATGAAGTATTGTCGGCATTTAATGTTTTATTTTCTTTATCCAATGAAAAAGGTAGAAAAGAAGTTTCGGGATCAAAGATGAAATCGTCTTCTTTTAAAGGAGATGCTATTATCGAATTATCACGTCTTGATTTATCAAGAATAAGATTTGAGTCAACAAGTATCGTCAAATTAGAATATTTGTTATCTGATGGTAATTGGCTTGGCATTGCTATATTTGCATCTGGACATTTATCTACGGATATTTGTTGTTCAATAACGTTGTGTTTTTTTTCTTTCTGTATGTCCGACTTTAAATGCAAATGTTTCATGTTTGACGTAGATTTGGAAGATACATTATCCTTCTTCATGTCACTTATCATCTCCTCGTCGGTGAAATACGAATTACTATGGGAGATCGAATTGCAATTAGATTTTGTTAGGTACTCCTCGCGTGCTACGTGAATAACTTTTGCATCGGCGTTTGCAACATCAAGCGGAAAAAATATTGTTGATGGCTTACTTTCGGCGATTTGTGTCTGCTTTCTACGTTTATGGAGATCCGTATTGACGTCAACTGTTCCCTTATCTATTTTATCATTTTCTGTATTTGGTACAATATGTTCTTCAGAACGAGGCGTGATCGAATCTATTATTCTGTGTGTATATTTTGAATCATTTCTGCAAGAATATGTTAGGAAAGTTGGAAGAGACAGATCATCTTCTTCCCTTTCTAATTCTGCAGGTACTTCTGATTGTCGCGTATTCTTCTTGTTAGAGAATTTATTCTTAATAGGACTAATAAGCGCGAACATTCCTGGGTTTCTCTTTAAGTATACGTCGGAAGAGCATCTTAAGACATCATCCGTTTCCTGTTTATGTTCCTGTATGTAATTCGGCCATACATGTGTTAAAAAATCTGATGATTTTTTTGAAGAATTATTAAATTGGTCGGTGCTGCTGCAGCTGGACGGTGCAGTCGATCGATTATGTATCACTACATGACTCGCTTCATCTGAAAATTGAAAAATATTGCTTTTGCTTTGACAATGAAGCGCTCTGCGTGCTTTGAAGATTGCTGTATTTTGGCTTTGAAGAAAAGTGTCCATATAATCTCTGATATTTTTAACGCGTTCCAATATGAGATCTTCGAGTTTTGACATTGTTGGCGAACGTTTATCGATTACATTATCAATATTGGAGGCTGCATTTTCCCTTAAATTTTCTCGTAAATTCACACGAGTTTGAATATTCCGTAGGACAGCTTTCGTTCGCATCGGTCTCTCATTCATATCGATTTCATCTTGGTTTTTCATATTGACTGGTATTGCTATCGAGATTACTTTTTCATAAACCGGAAGCGTCAGTGGAACATTATTCTCAGTCTCAGCATTATTATGAACCGCGAGATCAGTGATGCTAAAATATTCCGAAGACGTTTCGGGAATATAATCTTCGCTCTTTGTATCTCGTTCGTCCTCACGATGCGCGAATGTATTTACCTTTTTCAAAGATTGAGGAAGTACGTCGCGTCGTTGTTTCATTTCCAGACAAATGTAATGTTGATTAAGTTTATCATGAGAATCACTGATAACTGGCGCTTCCTCTTTGATGTCTATTATCATTGAAGGAAAATTATTGTTTGACATTGGCGGAAATTCATCTGCGATATCGTCCTGTTTTACATCACTCATTGGATACGTCTTTCTCGATTGTGTCAGTAAGGCGTTTTTGAAATGCAACGCCTCCTGAAGCAACAATGCCGTCGATTTGTCTTCTCCGCTATTGTTCGAGATTTTATTTTGACTGCTTTTTTGAGATATTATTACATTATCTTGGTATTGCTCTTTGTCAATTGCATCGCTGAATTTTTCAGTAGCGAATCTCTTCTTTAACGACGCCTCGTTTTGAGTTTGAATATTTTTATTTTCAGGTGATAAGATATAGAATATTCTTTCCGATATTGCCTCAGATATGCTATCTCGGGTATTAAATAGAGTATCTGTTATTATTGCATCTTTGTTAGCTTCGGGATTTGATTCTAATTCGTGTACTGCGATCTGCGATTCTAATTCGTTATCGTGTTCTAAAGTGTTCTGTTCGCACTCGCTTCTCTTATATTCATTTATATTCATCTTCTTATATTCATCTTCCGGTGTCTGTAATATCGCGTTGCAGGAACGTAAATGCGGTTCGGTTGTCACAAAGGCTGGAAGATTGCTTCTGTCTGATCTCTGCACATTATGCCGACTAAATCCTTTGGAAAAAGTATTTCGCAATGTAACATCTTCACCAGAACGTTGATATGTTTTTGATGTACGTGATGAATATTCGGTTAAGGAAGATAAGCTCTCTTCCGAACGATTTAGCTCGAAATATTCGCTCGAAATATTTACGACTGGGTAAGTTATAAGTGAGTTTGTTTCATCGACCCGATGTGCTGATTCCTGTCTTTCTGGGGACCGACTCGTGTCTTGATACGTTTGCAGCACGTTGTGCAAACTCTGAAGTTTTCTTCTGACCTCGTGCAAAGTTTCTTGAGAAGATTGCGCATTGTGTGTCGGTCGCATTATTGGAACAACTGGGATGAGTTCTCTCGAGGGTGAACGGTTATTAGTCTTCAAAACTACAGCGTTATTAGATGCGTTTACTTTGCTTGGACAATACGTCTCTTTGGTATCTTTTACCGTATTGTCTTTTATCCGCTCTACGCATTTCTTCTCGTTTATTTCCTCTCTTTTTGCTGCTACTGGAGCACCATAGGATGTCTCTCTTTTTTCCATCGTAGACAAGGATGTCTAGAATATGATGAATGTATAATTACCATGTAATTTTATTTACTGAGCTGATTTAATAACGGCGATTAATAAGCTTACTTGTGTCGCTGCGTGCGTAGCTTTTAAAGAAGATACTTTATTCATTTCTGATGAACGATTCGACGAACGCAAACGTTTATCGTTATATTGCAATTCCTTGAGAAATGATTTACATTTATAGACGGTATCTGTGAATTCCTGGCATGGATTGTATTTAGTATTCGTCGCACATGCACCGTTCTGTGTTAACGGAGGAATCATTCTTGAAGATCGATGCTCAATCACGTTCGGATTCAACGGTAAAAGCTGCACATTTCGTCGTTGCAACGTGAAATCTTTGCTTCTAGAGAGATCATTTTTTTTCGTACTCACATTTTGCGAGTACATACCTGATCTCCCTGAATATATGCTAACGAAATAAGCTAAATTTAGTGACTGCGCTGTTTCAAAGATTTTGCGCTTTCTCTGAATTTTTATTATTTACACATTACAGATTGAGATAAAATAATAATTGATATGATATATTAAATTAAATATGATTTTTTACTCTTAGACGGAAAGCATTTCCGAGCAAAAATATTAATAGGTTTTTTATTAATATTTTTGCTTAAAAAAAGAATTGGATAAAATCGGAAACTATCTACTATTATCGAGAGAAAGTGCAAAATATTTCTGAAATATCTCTAAGGCTATTTCGCTTATCTATAAAAGATGCATTAATGTTATAAACATTATATGAATAGAAAAAATTAATGTAAGATCAAATGTATTTCTAATTTTTGTACTTCACAGATTGGTCACTAGTAGATTTTAAAGATTCAATGCTGCTGCAGGCTGTTGATAATTCACTACGTTTGATATGTTGTGAACCACGTTCTTGCTTTGCGTCAAAACGATTCGTTAGTTTTGTTTTGGATGAATGACGCGCATTCGAACAAGGAGCACATATATTGCTCTCTGATGAAGGACTGAAACAAAGCATTGTTGTGAACATAAATATATTAAAATCTACAATATTATAAAAGTTTGTTAACTATTTAATGTTTTTAGCTTCTATATGTACTTTAGCAGCACGTGCTTTAGCCAATTTTTTCGGTCACCCGGGTTGGATAAAGTCAGTCTGATCTTCCGCAACTTCGGATTCAAATTACAGATTTGATGTGGTAATGGCCACGTTCCATATTGCATTTTATACGTTAAAACATTGATTTTCAATTCCAGATTCTGAATTTTATATCCGACTTTATTTAGTATTCGTTTATTAAGCACTGCATTCTTCGTGTGCATACTTTTGCAACATTTTATACGGATAAGCATCGTGGAAGCGATGGCTATCGCTAAAACCTTCAAATATTAAGGAGTGAAGTACTTTTGTGAAAACTAAACACAAAAATAACTTGTAGGTTTTAAATATTTATTTTGTAATATAAATCTTTAACAAAATTTTTAAAAGCAATTAGTAATAATGCGTGGAATATGTGTATAATTGCGCGTACCCATATAATTCCTTCTTTTGCTAAGTAATCAACGACATCAGACACAACCTCGTTCCATAAATAATTTGCTACCGCGATTATACATTCCTTCCAATTTGTCTCACATGTTACCGCCACAGTTTCGAAATTTCCACCTGAAACACATTTCCATTCGTTCGAATTTGGAAAATAAACAGATCTTTTCGACGTACATTATTTGTGTCTAATCTAGCATCACAGCGTTAAAAATATAAAAAAGAAACAAATTTTCTTACCAACTTTCCACGGCATTTTTATATACGAAAGTGTTTGTTGAAGTGATATTTTAATACAGATGAAATTGTGCGTGTGTGAAATTCGAAGAACTGTCAGGCTCCTGTCTCTTTCACTACCGATACATGTTTGCAAGCAAAATTGAGCACTTATGCACTGGCAATTGTTATCGAAATGCACTCTGAATACATACAAATATCTGCGAAGGTTATACCGATATGAATTTTAGCCTGTGATAATCGTATCTTCCTCATATATTTTTTTACAGGTTCTTGGAAAGGTACCTACAATTTCCATTGACAAAACGGACGGTTGTCAAATGTATTTAAGTGCGGAATCCTTGGCTGTTGAACTTATCACCAGCAAATCTAGTGAAATGAATGTCATGGTGCCCAAAGCCAATGGAGATTATGTAAATTGTCTTTCGATAAATTCTCATTGTCAGATCAATTCGCCATCTTGCAATTTTTACAGCTCTATGTGAATATGTTACATTGCAGAGCGAGTATCCGGTACCGGAGCAATTTAAGACTACCATTAGCAAGAACGGTCTTAGTACTATGGCCGTCGACTCACTTGGTTAAAAGCACGAGGAATTTATTTGTATGCGTAGCCTACGCTATCTTCTTAACAATATAATTAAAGGTATGATCGTCAAAGATATTATCAATTTATTAATATTATTATTATTTATTATCTTCTGCGAATAATGTGCGGAGTTAAAGAAAATAATAGATTCAGTACTGTATATCTCGCTTATGTGTAACGGATTGGCTTTGATCATATATTATATATTACTATGTTCCTGAACGTGTAATAAGTTGTACACATCAGAACGAGATTGCATTCGGTAATTAGCGGTAATAACGTATTCATTAAAATCATTTGAGAAATTTTATCCCATTTGAGGATCCTTAAATTGTCAAAATATCAGGCAAACGTGAATTACATTGAATCATTGAATAGGATATCTTGAATCAAGATAATCAACTTTTGCAAAAGATCAAACTCTAATGATTGTAATATATCTAGCGGAGTTTTTGTGGATTATTGCGGAATTTTTTTTTTGTGGATAGGTATTTGTATATTTTAAGGTCGAAAGTAAGATGACATAACGATGATGTTAAACATAGTATGGACAAAAGTTTTATCGTCTTCGAGTCGCTCTTTTATACATTTACACCAGTTTTTATCATACAAGAAGTTTTGCTCAAACCTGTCGTTGCACAGAACTTCCTGGTACACCGAATGGAATGAACATTGTACATGTACAACTATCAGGAACCAGATATACTAGGCCTCTGAGCATTACTCCTAAATGGTGTCGGATGCCATCATCACTAGTTCGATATGCTTTGCCTCTAATCTTATTCTGTCGAGTTCAGTATTATATGATATTTATAAATGAGATATCAAGTGATCGAGAACTGGAATAGAAGTTTAACAGTGTGACATTTAACGAGAGTACGCTAATACTAATATTACTTAAGTAAAATCACTTAAGTAAAGTATTAAATGATGACATTTGTAATGAACAACAGCGACGTCATAAGTATTGTTTGTTTGTCCGTATCGCACAATTTGTAATAAATACATAATTACTTGATCTATTTTTAATCTAATAACAGTATTATGAAATTATTTACAAAAGTTTTTATTTAAACGTCAATATGTACGATATGTTTACTGTTTCTTGTGGATATAATTTTTGGTGATGAATCTGACTAATAAAGCTAATAAAGTGAAGTTGTATATCATTCGTTGGATCGTTGTTATATTGTATAATTACCTTCTAATTGTTCCAAGACAAAAATTGAAAAAAACATGAATTTTACAAAAAGAGTATATTTACTGTGTTAATTTTTCTTATAAGTTTTACATTAATTGTAATTTCACAATAATTTTATAATATGTACACATTACTGGGAGAAGATAAGTCATGTCTTTTTACATTGTAGACTAGACTTCTTTTTATTTGATCAAATCTTGCCAATAGCATAACTTAAAGTATCTGTCTAAAAGCAGAACTAACATAAGCTTCGAGTCAAGTTAGTCCCAATCTGCATGGACATGATTATTTATATAGAGACTAAAGTAATGACGTTAACCCTTACTTGCCACACTTCTGTAGACGTCACGTACTTGCCACATTGGGGTGGAATCTACCCCAGCGACCAAAATTGTTATAACAAATAAGCTATTCAATATTTTAACTTGCTAATTTTTTTAGAACTTCTTAAAAGCTTACTTTTAAAAGTTATGTAGGTTATATAGCCAAAAATTAAAATTATGTATGATACAAAAATTAAAATAGTAAAAGAAAAATGAAAAAATGGCTGTTTTTACAAAAAAATTCATTGCTTAAACTATTGACAGAGGTCGCTATAGACCCGCTCCTCATAGGTTTCGGTACTTAAAATTAAGGGAATATGGTCGTGGGGTTGATTTGATCCCAGTGTGGCAAATAAGGGTTAATAATACATTAATAACGTGACATTGAGAGACATTTGCATAAGACATTAGACATTAATTTTAAATAAATAATTGTAAAGTTTTTTCTATTTTTTCTCGACGTATATACAATTATTCTAGAACTGAAAGAATGCTTCTTTTGAAGATATATTTGCAGAACCATCTGAAGGAAAGTTTTGCAACAGTTTATCGAGTTTTGCTGCTTATTGTTACTGTATTTTAATTCGATTTCCATAGATACATTGTATTTTACGTATATACAATTGTGTGTGTGAGTTCTTCCTCAATGAGAAACTACACTTATTTATCAGACTGCGCTAGCGTGGCTTATATTGTATAAATCGCGTTTACATTATCATATCGACATATCAGTCTTGTATTATCGCGAGATCGCGGAGCAATCTCGTTCGTCGCTGCCGTCGGAGCATTCTAGAAATCCATTGCAGACACGTGATTTGGGTAAACATTCTCCGAGAGGGCATCTGTGACCTTTGCAGAATTCCACCGCGGACGGTTGAATGTCTTTCTGCGTGGTGATAATATTGATGTACGTCATATAAGAATAAATTTTCGTATACACGCCCGGTCGTTCTCGTCTGCCACATCCATATCCGTTTGAAGTGATACCTGAAACAAAAGAGATAATTTCATATTTGGTGAAGGAATATTATAGGGAAATTTATTTAGTAAACATTCAGAGTTTTATTTATCCACAAGGTAAGATAATTAATAAATGTATTTAATATTAAATGTGCATAGTGCTAAGGATTCTATCGCTCTTGTTTGCGCGACGAAAGTGACAATACGGTATCTATTTACGTACCTTGTAACACATAACGGTTTTCCAACGGGGACAAGCATACCAAAGGCCCGCCGCTATCTCCAAGACACGCGTCTTTGCCACCGTTCTCTAATCCTGCGCACAACATGCCAGATGTAATCTTATACAGCGGTAAGAATAGAGTCTTCCGTCGACAATCTTCCGTCGATATCACCGGAATTTGTACTTCTTGCAGAGTATCAGCTGTTAATAAGTACGTTATAAACGTTAATAAGTAACGGGACAAGTATTATACATATAATGTAACTTTTTCAATGTAAGATCACGATCGTCTACATCTACATCTAAAGTATATATTATAATAATACAATAAAAAATATTTACGAAACACTCTGCCGATTTCATTTAACTGTCCCCATCCAGTCACCACGCATATCGTCTCGCTGGGGACCGGTGCTTTTGGGAGGCACACTGGTCGAATGTAGTCACTGAAGCTGACCGCTCGTTCAAGTCTTATTACAGCTATGTCATTGACGAATCCGTTATTTATGTAATCCGGGTGTAGATCGATGTAATCCACCCGTAAGAGCTGCTCGTGCGGGCTTCGGAAGCTTCCTCTACGAGTCGCACCGATTCTTGCGACCCAGTAGCTGTCCTCTGCGCTATAAAGCGTTACTTTCGATTAGATCTTTGTACTGAAGCTTTATATGTAAAAAAAATTATTCTATTTAAAATATTAACCGATAAAAGCAATGCGCTGCAGAAATAACCCATCGATCTTTTATTAAAGCACCACCACATTGATATTTTCCATCCTTGTACAAGGCAATTTGCCATGGCCAGTTGCCCATGGAGCTACTGGCACCGCCAACAATCCTGGAATGACGAGAAGGGAACGATCTGCTTTAAAGGGGAGGGTACATTTGAATATAAAAATATAAAAATATTCTTTTTATTGATACGAAAATTGAGGCATTTGGAAGCAAACTTTGAAACATCCATCATTGCTTTCCACACAGGAAGATACTTTTATGATCAAGATTCATTTATCTTTACTAAAAAACCGTGACATGAGAAAGTAACTTTTTTCTGTAAATTTTGAATCTTTAATTTCTTCTTACAAAGTTATTAATGAATTTGTTGATTCATACGTAACTGTCTACAGTAGATTTGGGTATAACGCGGTGGAACAGAAGTTTATTGTAAATATTTTTAATGTCAAGTCTTGCGCAACGGAATTAATCTCGAATTTAGCGCCAAGTATTATGAAGACATACCTCGCAGTCGATGCCACTTGAGTTCTTATTCCGCATTCGAAATTTTTGCATCGTACTTTGAGAACTTCGCCGCTCGGGCACTCGGACGATTTCAAAGACAAGGCTGTTTTGTCCGAGAGTTCGGATTTGTCATTGTACGACAAAGTGTAGTAAAACTGGTTCGGCACCGGGTTCTGGTCCAGTACTTTTTCTACTGTTTCGTAATCTCTGCAAAACGAAAGCCTTTTGGTCTAAGAAACTTTATTTACTTTTAACATAAAATATTTAATATACAATTTTTATATTAATATAAAATTATAAACTTTTAATATAATACAATTTCTCTTAATCGAGATTTCAACGACAATGTTACTTACCGATACGTGATGGCCTTGCACGCAGCTTTAGCAAGATCTTCGACGGACAACGTAATTCGGCGCGCGTGCCGCTCTCGGTTAAGACTATTCGTATCGGCTAAACAAAGCTTTCCCCATTTTCCGTTTTTTCGTACACTGAGGTATCCTCTGTTGTTATAATTATCGATCTCCTTGTTATGAACGTTCGCTACTGGAAAAGTTCTGTTATTTTTAACACGCAAATTATTCTCCGGAGTTAAACCGTTCCTTAAGACATCCGACGAACTTTCGGGAGTCTCTCTGCTGGAAACAGCGACGATGATTTTACTCTCCCCCGCGTCTCTATTTCGAGCCGATTCCTGATCAATCAACTTCGGAGATAAGCTATTATTGTCGTTCATTAATCTCTCAAATTCAAGATCGTCAGGGAGGATATATGGAGTAGCTGTGTCTGTAACAGAGGGCTCGATTGCTTGATGTGTGTGGAAATGAGATTCTACCTCGGATTGATTTCTCGATAGATTTTCCGTCGAGACGAGATCAATTCGCGGTCCAGCAATGTCTTCTTCCGGCTCGTCGTCTATCAGAGCAGTGCATTTCTTCTCGTCTTCGCCGCCGGGACAATCGCTAACACCGTTGCATACCTTATCCATATCAATGCAGGATTTGCTGTTACCGCATACGAATTGACCTTTCTCGCACCAGTCTGAAAAATGAAATCAAATGAGCAACAAATGAGTCGAAAAAATGTTTAGGTAACTGCTCTCGTAAAAGCAATTGAAGCTAATTGAGATTGAACTTAGTTTTATGAGAGAACATCTGGGTTATCGCGACAATCTGATTTTAATTGACATTACCGCAATTGCTCTCGTCCGAATAATCCCAACAATCGGCGATACCGTCGCAGATTTTTTGATACATTTGCGTCTTGAGGAAGTCGGCGCACGTGCAATTAGCTTCGTCCTCCGCGCCCGGACATTCTACCAGCATGTTACAAATCGCGCTGGAGTTTAAGCATTTTCCATCTCCGCAGAGGAAACCGTCGCAGCTATCTGCGAGAATACGATACGTTTACGGTAAGTACACACGTCGAAATATATCAATTTTTTATGAGTGCTGTTTCATCGTGCATTTGATAGCAGATTGGTGAAATATACCGGAGAATCTCTTTTCAATTTATAGATTAATAAATAGAGCTGTAACTCTTGATAAATTGTCGTAAGATCCACTTTTGCTGAAGAAAGATGCATACAGATCGAATATGCATGCACTTATTAATATCAGAAAATAATAAAGAAAAGAGAATTTGATATATTTTACCAATTTGTATCATCGAACGTGAGTGATGGTGTACGAAATTTTATTTATTGCGCAGTGTAAGGAAAAACTTCACGTGATTTCCCGTATAATCTAATAATTGGCTGTAAGAAAGAAAGCTACACAAGCCCTGCGCATTACACTGTTAAATATTGAAGGATGAAATTAAATTTAATAAAAAGGATTTAATTAAATTTAAATCAATATTTTGAGTTGAATAACATTTTGTTATTTTTAACTATTATGTGTGTGTGCCAAAATGTATTATTTTAACACAAAACAGTATTTATTATTTTAACTCCATTGATTTAGTTAAATTAATATTATTTTAGTTAAATTAACAACATATTGAGTAGAAGCAGTAGCGAACTATAGAAATGATTAAAAATGACACAAATTAAGTATAATTTGATACTACGGATTTAACAGTGTAATACTTTTCCACTCGCCTGCATACATTTAAACGCGTTGCGTTTGCACAATTACCATTGGTCTCGTTAGTCTTGCTTTCTCGAATCTTCGACATTGTATCTGCCTCGTTTCTCTCTCCTCGGTCCTCTTCCTTATTTAATACTTT